TTCTTTTGAGAAGTAACTCAAAAACCATATGATCATTTCAATTAATGCTGAAAAGGTGTTTGATAACATTCAACATCCCTTCATGATTAAAAAAATAAATAAATAAATAAACCTTTAAAAAATCTAGGTATGGAAGGAATTACCTCAACAAATAAAAGCCATATACAACAGACCCACAGCTATCATACTGAATCAGGAGAAATTGAAAGTGTTTCCTCTAAAACAGCATTTGCTATTGCCTGTCTTTTGGATATAATCCATTTTAACTGGGGTGAGATCATATCTTATTGTAGTTTTGGTTTGCATTTCTCTGATGAGCAGTAATGTTGACCACCTTTTTATATACCTGTTGGCCATTTATATGTCTTCTTTGGGAAGTAACTCAAAGACCATATGATCATTTCAATTAATGCTGAAAAGGTGTTTGATAAAATTCAACATCCCTTCATGATTTAAAAAAAAAAAAAAAAAAAAAAAAAAAACTTAAAAAAAAACTAGGTATAGAAGGAATTACCTCAACAAATAAAAGCCATATACAACAGACCCACAGCTATCATACTGAATGGGGAGAAACTGAAAGTGTTTCCTCTAAAACCTGGAACTCAACAAGGATGCCCACTTTCATTACTGTTATTCAGCATAGTAACAGAAGTACTAACTGTAGCAATCAGATAAGAGAAAGAAATAAAGGGAATCAAATTGGGAAGGAAGAAGTCAAATTAGCCTTGTTTGCAGATGTATGATTTTATATTTGGGAAAACCTATAGGCTCCACCAAAAATATAAAAACTGATGAGTAAATTTAGTAAAGTTGCAGAATACAAAATCAACATGCAAAAATCAGTAGCATTTCTGTATGCCAACAGCAAACAATCTAAAAAAGAAACCCAGAAAGTAATCCCATTTATAATAGCTACAAATAAAATTAAATGCCTAGGAAATAACCAAAAAAGTGAAAGATCTCTGCAATAAAAACTATAAAACATTTATGAAAGAAATTTTAAAAGGATACCAAAAAATGGAAAGATATTCCATGTTTATGGATTGAAAGAATCAATACTGTTAAAATGTCCACACTACCCAAGGCAATCCACAGATTTGATGTGCTTTCTACCAGAAATAGAAAAAACAATCTTAAAATGTATATGTAATCACAAAAGACCCAGAATATCCAAAGCTATCCTTAACAAAAATAACAAAATTGTAGGAATCACATTACCTGACTTCAAATTATACTACAGAGCTATAGTAACTTAAACAGCATGGCACTGGCATAAAAATAGACACATAGATTAATGGAACAGCATACAGAACCCAGAAGTAAATTAATATATCTAAAGTGGACTCATTTTTGGCAAAGATACTAAAACCATAAATTGGGGAAAGGACAATCTTTTCAATAAATGGGTTTGGGAAAACTGAATATCCATATGCAGAAGAATGAAACTGGACTCCTATCTCTTGACATATTCAAAAATTAAATCAAAATAGATTTAAGGCCTAAGTCTAAGATCTCAAACTATAAAACTACTAGAAGAAAACACTGGGGAAACTCTCCAGAACATTGGACTGGGCAAAGATTTCTTTAATAATATCCCATGAGCACAGGCAACCAAACCAAAAATTGACAAATGGGATCACATCGAGTTAAAAGCTTCTGTACAGCATATCAAACAATCAACAAAGTGGAGGGACAACCCACGGAATGGGAGAAAAAATTTGCAAACTACCCGTCTGACAAGGGGTTAATAATTCAGATTGTATAAGGAACTCAAACATCTCTATTAAAAAATCTAATTATCTGATCAAAACATGGGCAAATGATGCGTTTTTCTTTAGGTCTCTTGATTTCACAGTCTCTGGAGCATCTTACTGCCTTTATATTTTCTTTATTTCTCTACTTTTATTTAAACTCAAGTTCTGTAAAAGTCTCATTCATTCTCTTCACTTGGGCATCTCTACATATATCCACTTTCAGTCCTCTACCCTTCTGCCCTCATCTGGACTGGTTGCTTTCTATTTATGCTACATTACAATTTAGTGACTTCCTTCCACAGCTCTTCTGGATCACGACGACTGTTTTCTAGGTGCCATATTCAGTGGTGTGCAGGTAAAAGTTTAACATTGGTTCTCGAAACATACATATAAACTAATTCTAATTTTTAGCATTTTCTGATTTTCATTTTTCAAATATTCCCATCACGACAGACATCAAGTTCCCAACTTGAGGTCACTGACCATAGAATGAGGAAGAGATGCCTCCTTCCCACCCCCCAACCAAGGCCAGCATCTCCCCAACACCACAAATTAGAGTCATTTTAACAGAGATACTTCTAAAGAACAGTCATCCATTTTCCAACTTAACAAAGCAACTTGGATATAATTTCATCTTATTTGGGGTCTCTGGGTCATTATTATAAACATCACAGTCAAGGGCAAAAAGTTGTGTCTCTAGAGATTATGACATTTAGAGAGAAAATACTAGCCAGTAAACCAAATGGCTAAATAACCAAAATGCGAGTTAAATAGAATAATTAGGTTAAAAATACAATGGTATTTTGTTTATTTTTGAAGTCTTTGTTGTTGTTAGTTAACTTTTCAAAATTGTAATAATCAAATCTAGTTTTCACAGTTTTTGTAGTTGTTACAGCTGCCCTTCTCCATATTCTCGATATGCTCCCTTCTCTGTTTTTCATGTCTTTTTATTTGTACTCTTATTTCTTCCCACCTCAATTCATTTTTTTAAGTTCTCAGGAAATAAATATTAATAATTAGAGAGCGTGACTTGAATATAAAATGCATATTTTCTCATAAGTGGCATTAATTTGGCTTCTCTTTCATTACCTGTGTTTTCTTTAATATCATAAAAGAGAATGCTATCCATGCATCTACTGACAGAAAAGAAAATGAGTTTTTCTCTTTTAAAGTTCACCTTAAAGGTTTTTGTCATGCACAACTGCTTTAAAATAGCGTTGTTTTTCAGAATGAATGGCCTGCAGCTGCTCTCCAGGGTTTCTTTTTTTTTTTTTTTTTTAGTATTCAATTATGTTTGGACATTTAAAAAATACATATTTGTATCACTGATGGGCCAATAAATAAAATGCTGCATAGAAAGGTTCCCAGGAACTAATTTTTAGAGAAAGGTTCCTAGGGACTAATTAGAGTCACAAGCAGAGACAAGCAGGAGGTAAAAAACACTGTGCTGCTGCTTCTTTCCTTACTCTGATATTTTGCGTTTTAACCATTTCTGAACATTTATGGATCCAGGAGATGAATCCTGAATGCATCCTGAATAATATCACGCCATGATCAGGAAATACCCATGAAATGAATGTGGATCTGGTGTGGTTTTCTTTAGGCGTTCGCTCTCTTCGCTTTTCCTCCACAGCTTGCTGAAGGCAAATCTTGACCAAGGTAAATTCAGCTTACTGGATAGAGGACATTTCTTTATGTCCAAGAAAATTAAAGCTATTCAAGCATACACCTGTCACATAACTAGAAAAATACCTAGGGTGCCAATTTCTTTTCAAAGCTACAGTTTCCAGTGCCATCAGTATGGCTAATCACTGGATCATTTTATTAGAATTACTATTTTATCAATACAAAACTAGAAAAATGCCTGAAATGTGTAATGATTCGTGACCAAATACAGCAGGTGATATTGTAAAATTTTTTCAATGTAGAATACAAGAAATACTGTTAGAACACGATAATGGCATTTTTGGTATTCACTGGACCATATGAAATGCATCTGTTTCATAATAAATGGTTGTGTATATATTGACGCATTTTATAATTGTTTTAAAATGTCAAGATGTATGTAATACAATTATAATAAACTGTGGCATGTCTAAAATTGTAATGACCTCATAATTTCTATTTGGTATTCTAAAAGGATGCTATCTAATCCAAGATGAATTTTCTTGTCAGTATATGATCTCAATAAAATGCAATTCAAAGGGTTTAACTCTAGTTTTAGAGCAGAGTCTTGAGCCCAGAGTAAGTAAATGAGGAAGCTCCGTTCAGCATTGGCAATCTAAGGAAAGGAAAAGAAAGAGAACAGATTTGGCTAATGTATACTTCACACAGGAAAGCGGGGATAGGCAGGAGTTTTCGTTTTTTGTTTGTTTTCCAAAATTACACTAGTTCTAGTGTCGCAAGCCTGGAGTTCTTTTTTATCCCATGATGATGTTATACTAAGCCAATTGTTTTACTAAAAATAACGATATGAAATAAGCCAATCACAGAAAGACAAACTTCACATGCTCTTACTCATTTGTGGGAGCAAAAATTTGAAACAATTGAGCTCATGGAGATAGAGAGTAGAATGATGGTTACCAGAGGCTGGGAAGGGGAGAAGAAGATAAAATGAGGATGGTTAATAAATGCAAAAATAGAGGTAGATAGAATGAATAATATCCAGTATTTGATAGTACAATGGGGTGATTATAGTCAACAATAATTTATCACATATTTTAAAACAATTAAAATAGTGGAATTGGAATGTTCCTAACAAAAAGAAAAGAGGAATGTTTGAGGTGATGGATACTGTAATTATCCTGCTGTGATTATTACATATGTATGTCTATATTAAGACATCACATGTACCCCATAAATATATATATATCATGTACCCCTAATAATTAAACATAACTTTTAATATAAAAATAAAAATGATGAACTTAAAACATTAAAAAATCTGTCTGGAATTTCTACTGTAGAAAATGATTTAAGAAGTGTATCTCTAACTCTCTAGATAGATTTAAAATCTATTTATACTTGAAGTTATAATGCTCAAAACTATCTTAGTATAGTTTCTGAGAGAAGGTGCAGAAAACAGCACATGAAATAAGAATGAAAATTCTAATAATAATGGTGACAAAAAGTGCTATTGAAGTTGAATATGCAGATTCCTCAGCCATGAGATAAAGATTAAAATAACGTGATGATGCTTGGATTAGACACTAATGAACTTTGTTTTTGTTGTTGTTGTTGTTGTAGATCTCAGCATTAGAGAGGCAGATCTTTGACTTCCTTGGTTTCCAGTGGGCTCCTATTCTTGGAAATTTTCTGCACATAATAGTTGTCATATTGGGTTTGTTTGGAACCATTCAGTACAGACCTCGATACATAATGGTGGTAAGTCTTATTTTTATCATTTCTCCTCATATAAACAATGCAACATTTCTATAAGAATATAAATAAAATATTTCTAAGTGGCCCCTTCTGATATAATGTGGCATTGCTTTTCTAGCCCTCAAATATTAAATTTTGTTCAGAAGTGTTATCTGTGGAAAATACAATGTAATGAATGTTGTACAGTGAGATCAAAGCCACATGCTCAAAAGTGTATGATGACGTGGTGTCCCTCACAATGTAACTGAATTCAATTTTTACATAGAAATTCAAAATAGGCTTTGGACACAATAGGAGGTCTGCTTATCATCTTGGTTATAGAATAGTTAGAAGCAATGTACATTAACTATCAGGGTATTAATTTATCAATTGACTGAAATGTCAATTTCACTGACATTTGTCACTAACTCCAAAAAGCAAATCTGTCTAGTATAACTGTTTAATCACTGAAAACAATAATATATTTTAATTTTAATTGATTTAGGACATTACAAGTGCATGTATGGATGGATATTTCGTACACATCCCTAATGTATTTAATACTGGTTGATATTGAATATTTCTCCATTTGTCAAGATAAATTTGAAACAGATATCCAAAACATAGTCAGCACACACTCCATTATAGGACAGTTTAATGAGGTGTATGCCGTGACCCACAGTCTAATGAAAGTTATTCACAGTAATTACTTGTCTTTTCTATAACATAAAAAGAGGGCATTAATGTAGGCTACACATGTGAGAAGGTTGTGAGAAATAATAAGCATATATAATTGTTGTAAATTGGAGTAACATACTATAAAATGTACATTGAGCCTGTGTAAATATACAGTGTTCAGTAGAATTACTGGGTATTTTCCTGGGATACACTGACATTGCCTCACTAGAAGAAAATCATAGACTTAAAAACATGCCATCTTTCCATTTTGACATAATCTAATTCTACTGGTGGAAAATAATAAAGTTATTATTTTTCTCTGTTAAATGCATCCATCCTCTATTTTGATTTTTAAACTTGTCTTTTTTATTTCTTTCACCATTTCGCAGAGGTGTAGGTAACTGAATAGACTGCATTCAAATGGCCTTGGGAGCATTTGATGGCTCTCAATTTGCTGCAGGGGCTAATCAATTTCTGCTTTACTTTGCTTCTCTTAGAGATAGCCTCAGCCAGGTATGGTGACTCACACCTGTAGTCCCAGCACTTTGGGAGGCTGAGGCAGGAGGATTGCTTGAGCTCAAGAGTTCAAGAGCAGCTGGAGTTTTTTTAATAGAAATCTTGTGTTTACAAAAACTATAAAAAGTAGCCAGACATTGGGGCGCCTGTGGTCCCAGCTACTCAGGGGGCTGAGGCAGGAGGATCGCTTGAACCCAGGAGATCAAGACTGCAGTGAGACACGATCATGCCACTCCACTCCAGTCTGGGCGACAGAGAGAAACCCTGTCTCAAAAAAATAAAATAAAATAAATAAGTAAATAAAGATAGCCTCTGCTAAGTAACTGCATGATCTCCTAGAAGGGGGTTTCATGGAGTTGGACTTGCGGCCTAAGGTGCTTTCGTATCATGCATAATCAAGCTATTATTGAATTCTAAATGTGTTCTAATTTGTTACTATGTATATAGAGCAATTTTACTCATTACAGATTTGTGTTTTATGATGTTGGTGTTCTGCTGAGAAACAAAATACCTTGTGACTTTGAAACCATAGTTGACTTCCAGAGAATGAAGCTGTAGGTAAACACCAGTGACATCTAGTCCTGTTGATTTTACCCTCTAAATGTTAACCCTACGCACTATTCACATAACTGCTGCCTTGGTTGAGGCTTATGTCTTCTCTCCTCTACGAGTGGACTTTGCCTCTTATTTTCCACCTTTCTCCCTTCCAATTTGCTCTTTGTGCTTTTCTTAAATTACTGGCCTAAAACTGCCACTGGGTCCTTAACTGGGTAAGATCTAAGAATATTCTTGCCTGATGTACTTGACCAAACTCATGTCTAACTATTCTTCCTTTTTTTCTTCCTTTGTCCCCCCACCTCCCTCCCTCCCTCCATCCCTCTCTCCCTCCCTTCCTTCTTTCCTTCCTTCTTCCCTCCCTCCCTTTTCTACCACCCATCCTCCCTCCCTTCCTTCTATCCTTCCTCCCTTCCTCCCTTCTTTCCTTCCTTCCCTCTTTCCTCTTTTCCTTCCTCCCTCCCACCCATCCTCACTCCCTCCTTTCCTCCCTTCTTTCCTCCCTCCCTCCTTCTCTCCCTCCCTCCTTCCTTCTTGCCTTCCTTCTTGCCTGCCTTCCTTCCTTCCTTCCTTCCTTCCTTCCTTCCTTCCTTCCTTCCTTTTCCTTCCTTCCTTCCTTCCTGCCTTCCTTCCTTCCTTCTTCCCTTCCTCTCCCCTCTTCTTTACTCTCACTTCTTTGTTTTCTTTCTTTCTCATTTTTCATTCACTTATTAATTCAAAAGATATTTATCGAGCTTCTACCCTACTTTTGGCACTGTGTTAAGTGTGGACTATACTGAGTGAGCAAAGCAGACTGACATATATTCTCTGTCCTCCTGGGTGCCCACCTTATGGTGCAGTGAAGAGAGGTGTGCCTTTATCAAACAATTGTCCACATAAATGTTAAGTACAGCACGTATGAAGGAGCACACTATGCCATGAGATGTCCCAATGGGGTATCTGCCTGCAGCAGAAGGGCAGTGGAGTTAGGCACCCTGCAGGGTGACGAGAGAACTGAGGTCTGCAGTGCAAGTATGGGAGTGAGTCCCGAGGGAAGAGGGTGAGAAGTCTGGAGTCAGAGAGCACCACAGGGCCCATAGAAAGGGGACTATCACAGCAGTTCTGATTTATTCATTAAGCATCTATTGAGGACCTATACTGTGCTAAGTTTGGAAAAATAGAAAAATTCAAATGTCAGAGCCCTGCTCTGCAGGCACTAACCATGTAAAGTGAGAGTTGCAGGTTCTGGGACTCTCTAGAAGTCAGTAAATGGCAGTGGAGAGGAATGAGACCAGCAGTGGGAGCAAGGCTTGGGGAGAGACACAGGCCAGTGTGGGAACCCAGAAGGGCTGAGAGTCTGCACACCTCAGTGTCATGGGCCTCCTGCTGCACCTGCCTCACCAGCCCCGTGCTCTGGTAGCCTTGCCTGGTGTTTGTGTCCCGGTCTAGCAATATTTCCTCAGTCTCTCATGGATACCTTCTTCCATACACGTTAATGTTGAATCGCTCTCTGCTCCTTCACCTCTAGTGTGTCTTGAGTATATTTTATAATTTGTTCATGTTTATATCTTCTAGGCAAAATGTTCTTTGAGAGCATAGAACATAATTAGTGAGCAGTACATATTTATTGATTACTTTCCTTTTTGCCCTACTAGTTCTGGGAAGTGCACCATGATGAAACTGCTGTCACTTCTCTGTTGGTACTTTTTCGCTGCTTTCCTCTCTCCCTCCTCCCTCCTGTGTGAGGAAGGCAGTTTTGGAATCTTTCAGAACCTTCAAGAAAAGCATAGACAAGACCAACGATCCACGTTTTTTGCTCATCTTGATGATCTATTTTTTATAGGTTATGCCAACCCAAGTCTCTCTCATTTTATTGCACTGTCTTATTCAGGATCCTCTCTCAGGAAGGGAGAGAAAGAAAGCAATAAATTAGTGTAAACCCTCCACACCACGCATATCATTAGGTTTCATTCTCACAAATATCCTACAGGGCATGTATTAACTTCTCTGATTTCCCAGCGGAGAAAAGAGGTCAGAATTTGAGTGACTAGCCCAAGGATCATGGGTGGTAGTGGACAGCAGAATTGGATGTGCTGGCCTGTGTTGTTAGGTTCAAGCTCTATAGCATGATCTGTGCTTTGCTTTCACCGGCAGATTCAGATGATAATATTTACCATTGTCAGTATAAGTTGTGATATAGGAAATAGTCTTGGCCTACCTCCCAGTCAGATATCATTACCTTTATGAAAGATTACCTCTTATTCTAATATGGGTATAAACTATCTATTTGATATAAAAGTACCTAAGAATCATTAATCCATGAGTATGGGAAATCTATTCACAAAATTAAAAAAGAAAGAAAGAAAGAAAGAAAAAACCTTTTATAAAGAGCATGTTGTTTGGGAAGGTTTTTTTTTTTTTTTTTTTTTTTGAGACGGAGTCTCACTCTGTCGCCAGGCTGGAGTGCAGTGGCGCTATCTGGCTCACTGCAGCTCCGCCTCCCAGGCCATCTCCGCCTCAGCCTCCGAGTAGCTGGGACTACAGGCGCCCGCCACCTCGCCCGGCTAGTTTTTGTATTTTTAGTAGAGACAGGGTTTCACCATGTTAGCCAGGATGGTCTCGATCTCCTGACCTCATGATCCACCCGCCTCGGCCTCCCAAAGTGCTGGGATTACAGGCTTGAGCCACCGTGCCCAGCTGTATTTTTTTTTAATTCATTCTTGAGTTGTTGTCACAAACGCTTTGGTTAGAAGCCACAACAAGTGTACCGTTAATTCTGATATCAAAAAAACTGAAAACGAAGGTAACATATGTACCATTAGGCAGCAGCTTTTCTGGCAGTGAAGAGTCCTGGAGCGAAATCCATATACTCACTTTCACAGTGAGGGGAAAGAGCTTTTTCATTGCAAGAGATTTTCCCTCAAAATTGCTTCTTCTATTTTTAGTATTGGCTTCCTTTATTGGCCAAACCACCACACAGATGAGTCAACTAAGTTTAATTCATTTCAAAATAGAAACACTTTGGAGCACCAGGTATGTATAAGTGCTCCACGCAGAGATTAATAAAATATGTATGCTCACTGCGACAATTAAATAGAGCTCTAGTTTTACAAAAACACGGATAATTTACTGCCATTTTGGACAAGGAAGTCAGAGGTTCACTCAAGTTTGAGTTTAAGTAATTGATCACCTTTATGAAACTGCTTTGGGCAAAGGACCATGAGTCTCAAGCTCTCCAATGACTAGTTTTTCCAAACTCTTAGAGTCTAAATCAAAGCTTATGGAAATTGTTCTTT